ATCGCCCCCATGGCTGAAAGGGCGAGCATTTTTGGTGTGATGGGGATTTGAAACCGCAGCTTGCAAGTCGAGCACCCCAACCACCTGGCCATGCCGGGCCGAAAAGCTAAGAACCACATAGATTTTTTCCCAACACAATGATAAAAATTATAAAGAATTTTAAGGTCATTTTGAAAATGGGTGTTACAATTGATCACATAATGGTCTGTATGATGTTGCATATCAACATAAATCTTGTAAGATCAAATACGATTTCACAGAAGCAAAAAATAAATAAAAACATACACAAGTTAAAACATGAACAAGAAAACTTTGAAATGGAATTTAAAAAATTAATTCCAGGCACTATGAACATGGAATATTGCAATACTGAAATACAGACTGTGATGGAAGAAACAAGAAAAATAGCACCTTGTGGAAAAGAAAATGATCTTTTTGATAAAAGCTGAAAAGAACTGCAAATTTTAAAAGACAAAATCTTGAGTATATATGCAGAGGTGGTGAAAGCAGTTAAAAGAAAACAAAGGGAGAGACAGAGAACAAATAAAGGAACAAGTCATCATAGAAATATTACAAAAAAGAAAGGAAGAGGGTTCAGAAACAGCCAAAAGCTGCAACAAAAAAAGACCAACATGAACAGCGTGAAGGATGAAAATGAACAACTGATAGAAAAGAGATCCTAGACATCAGTACCACTTTCAATCAAAGATTGTATCCAAACAGAGTAAGAAAGTACAAAACTTTGAAGTGAAAAAGAAACACCGGACATTCTACTACAAAAAGACGAAAGTAATTTAAGTGAAATGAAAAACAACAAAGCTCAAGAATTGGATGAAATCACAAACAACGTACTGAGACAAGAAATGATTACCCAGCTTATGGGTCCACTTAACAAAATATTGTAGGGAAAAAGAGGATACAATCAATCCACATTGAAAAAAATTAAAAATAACCACCCTTTACAGCAAGGAGATAAGAAAGATCTAAAAAACTATAGAACCATAACACCAGTATCATCCATTTACAAACTTTTTAAGAGTTCTAGAGGCTAGGATGTTCAATGTTTTGTATGCCAACCAATCTAGAGAATAAGCTGGATATAGAAAAAAATATACACCACAACTGACTACTTACAAGCCATTAACCAACTAACTGAGAAAACATCAACTAAACTTCGGTTATAAGCTACAAGAAGGCTTTTTACTCTCTTGAACACAAGGACCTATTTGTTGTACTAGAGACAATAAGTGACTCTCTTGAACACAAAGACCTATTTGTTGTACTACAGACAATAAGTGACTCTCTTGAACACAAAGACCTATTTGTTGTACTACAGACAATAAGTGATTCTTGAACACAAATAGAGACAATAAGTGACTCTCTTGAACACAAGGCCCTATTTGTTGCATTAAGGACAATAAGCATTACAGAAATATACGTTCAGATTCTAGAGGAAATATATACAGATGCAACAGCAGGTACGGATAACAGAAAAAGAAGTTGGCCAAGAAAACCCTATCTAACCCGAGCTTTGTACAGCAACCCTATAATACATGTTTTGATAATGATCATAGAAACCAACAAGATAAGATAACTGACAGTGAAAGTGGGTTGGAACAGTATATTCGAAGGTACACACATATATATATGTATATATACACAAAAACCAAAAGGTACCCATGTCTTTGAAAGTAAAAGTATTTAACATATGCATACTAATGATAATGTTATGTGGATCAGTAACATGTGCTACTACTACAGAAATGGAAAACAATATAAAAAAACAACACAATGAAAGATGGAAAGTCAGTGCTGAGTGTCTCACTAAGAAACAAGATCAAACATATGACCATAAGAATAGGAAACAAAGTATTAGGTGTATTAAAAACACTAAAGGAATGAAAATGCAGAGAAGACAGGACACGTATATAAAGGAGATGATAGCAAATGGAGAAAAAATGATAACAGAGTGAAAACAAAGAACACGGAAAAGAAGAAATGAATAATGGAAAAAAAAGAATGAAGAGATGATATACAGAGGTCTTAAAGCAATTTTGGAGTCTCACCATGTCAGCACATCCAATCATGCTCTATTTGACAACATTGCATTTTGACAATACCGCTGCAGCATAGTTTCCATTGCAAAAGGCTTCATCATAAGGCTGTCATGTTTAAGGCACACACACACACTCTCCCTGCAAGCTTTCCATAATCCATCTAGTGTAGGAGAATAATGGATTCCCAGCACCCATTTCAACAGTCCAATTGCACAGAAATCCATAGATGTTGCATCTGGAGACTAGTCCCAATATATCTTTGTATTAAATAGCACAAATTTATATTTCATTCTCCAGATGCTTGAGGTATGTGACTTGTGCCACTTTTCCAGACAGTGATCCTTCTTGATTATGTTACATGCTGTTGCCTAGGGCAGATTGGCAGCTTTTAGTAAATTCACATCTGTTACAAAATGCAACAATTTGTTTTTAGGGCTAGGGTACGACTTATTGCAGGTCTCTTTCTGAATGGTCTCGGTTCACCAAGTTGATCCATATGGCCTTTTTTTCCAATGCCATTAACTACAAGTAAGAATATCCCTATCTTGAATATCTAAATCCCCAATCTGAACACATCTTTATGATACAAGTCTATGAATATTTGGCTTTGAGAAAAGGCTCTTACATACCCTTTCCAAAAGCAGTTTTCAATGGCATTACACTATAAAATGCAAAACAATGTTAAAATGGGGTTCTGATACATTCTGTTCCACTTCAAGATGTAACATGACTTGCTGATTTTCATATTCAAAATAGTTTTAATATAATATACTCAACCCTCTATAGCACAAGATATAGGACACCAAGCTTAGGGCGATACCATAAAAGACTGGAAAAGATGAAAATTGTGAGAAAGAATAGCAAGTGCTTAAGAATTTGTTAACCTTTATTCAAACAAGAAGGTATTAATTTTTTTGACTCATGTTGTATCATTATTAGTAATAATCCAAGTATATTTTTGATATAAATGGATATTGTCTGCAAATAGTTTATTATGTGATCTTTTCCAACAGTTGGTAACGTACTAATCGGAAACAATCTTATACACATGTATGCAACATTCTCCTCTGCTTCAAGTATTTAATTTTTATATAACACTTTTATAAAATTTCTGTATGTAACAGTTAATAATCACTATACAAACAACTGGAATATACACACTCAAACACTTGTACCCAATGATACAAAAACAAAGAGTCCTTGGTTTAGAAAGAACTTACAATGTAGCATTAATAAAATATTTGTCCTTTACATTTGTTTTAGAATAAAAATGAAAAACAAACACTATGAAAATATATACATTTATTTTATGTGATATAGAATAGGCAAAAAAAAAAAGAGTAAAAACACTACATGAAAAAATTATTTAATTTTTATCCAGAAAGTAGGTCTGTTGACTGAATAGCTCCAAGGTTAAGCTACTGAGAAATGCTGGAATGCTGTTATGTCCTTTCAAGTATGTGTCAATCAACTCTTGCAGCTGGGAAGAATACTCCGTCTCTAACAGCTTTAACCTTCCATTGGCATACTAAAAAATCAACAAGAAAAAGCATATTTACAACAACGAGTAGAGAATTTGAGAAAAATCAATCCTTTTTTTTAAGGATTATGAAATCAATGTCTGGCCACATTTCTTTCATAACAACACCATTGTTATAGTATTTTGGCATTTGTGTATAAAGTTAAAATCATAAATAATATTCAATGTTAAACTGGTACACAATTAAAAACATTTTATTTAGGCCTATCTATGGCCTTCAAAAATACCACTTAAATGAGCATAAGGGATATGTAAAAAATTAAAAAACTGAAAATTCATCCATAGCAGAACATGTACACGAAACACAACACACAATATTATGGGAAAAAACTGTAACATTAGTTCAACCTAAAAGTATAAGAGCTAATAATATTTGTGAATCATTAGAAATAATAAAATATAAAAAAGATCATGTAGTATTAAATAGAGATGAAGGTATGGCGAATATTTCTGCAAGAATGTGGATTGATCTCCGTTGAATGGTTTAGCGTGAATGTATGTAAAATAACCTTCAGGTCAATGACCTACTAACAAGTTATAAATACTTTGGCAATTGTCTTGTAATTCTCTCCTGAGGATGACGTTGTAACGTCAAAACATGTAGAGTCATCAACTTTTTGAAGGCCATAGATAGCCATAAATAAAATGTTTTCAATCTGATATATGCTCTAGGACATTTCATGGTCTCAATAAGGTGTTATGAGTTGAACCTACATTAGTAAAGGTGCTATGTCTTGACATCTACATAACTTGACATTTACATTAGTAACGGTGCTATGTCTTGACATCTAGGTTACTTGACATTTACATTAGTAAAAGTGCTATGACTTGATACCAATAGATGTAAACTGTTTAGTATGTCAGCAAAGCTGCTACAATTTGACCCTTGTAGTTGTAAACTGACAAGCCACATTAGTAAAGGTGATATAATTTGACACTTGTAGATGTAAACTAACTAGCCATATTTGTGAAGGTGATATAAATTGACACCTGTAGATGTAAATTAACTAGCCACATCAGTAAAGGCACTACAACTTGACACCTATAGATGTAAACTGACTAGCCACATTAGTAAAGGTTTTATGACTTGACACCTATAGATGTAAACTGACTAGATACATTAGTAAACGAAACAGTTTATAATATCCAAACAAGTAATCTTACCTCAAATAGCAAGTAATCATTTTCTGATTCAGAGTACATATGAGACATCTTGTACTTATTCTGACTAGACACATCTATCTTGAAACCTGTCAACAAATAACACACCTCACGAAACTCCTGGCTAGTCTTTCGAAAAGCATTCAAAAGTCTCTTGTTCTTTAACTCTGCAACAGTAAGCTGTTCCTTTAGACCTACAAAGTTTAAAATTTATGTAACCAAATTATGAAAGTCATTCACATATCAGAAGAGACACATACATATCAGGTTATTGTTGTTAATACCAAGTCTTACACAATATATATTACTCAAACATCTCTATTTATACTATAACAAGAGTACTTGAACATTGGTCTTTAATCTAATATGCTGAAGTAGTTTTTTTGAGGACAAACAAATATGCATGTAATTTACAAGGCAAGCATAATTAGTCTTTCTGCAGAATTCAATTACAGTCAGTATTCAACACGGCAGGCCTAACTTCATCTTTACAAAAAAAAAAAAAACCAAATAGACTGCTTTAATTTGTAATTACCATAAATAAAGTAACAAAAGTACCTATTGTAGAAACTCAATATAATGAAGTTAACTTTTTGTACCAACAGTTAGTATTGGAACTGATTTTTGTTACTTATTATACTTTATATAAGTAAATAAAAGTACTGTACTGTATGAAAACATGATTTTTTTTTAATAGTTACTAGTTATAAAATTACAGTTCCCGAACAACTTTTCTTTGATAAGTGTTATTGTATATATTACCTTGCCCTTACTTCTGACATGAGGATTTTCCATCTATTGACACATTTTTCCACCTACTTTCAGAGACCAAAGTTCCCGAACAACTTTTCTTTGATAAGTGTTATTGTATATATTACCTTGCCCTTACTTCTGACATCAGGATTTTCCATCTATTGACACATTATTCCACCTACTTTCAGAGACCAAATAATTTTATTCTAAAATAATACTACATTACTGTAATACAGCTAACACCTGCATAATGAAAGGTCCTAAGTCACACAATTGAAATTACGTCTCTCGCAACTGATCAGTGAGAACGGATTTTTTTTTTTTTTTTAAGTAACCAAATATTATGTGAATAAATGATATTTTTTTTCTTAAGAATTAATGGGACAAAAAATACTACCACATATATTTAATACTTATCTTTGTTCAACAGATCAACCAGTAGAAACTTTAAATTCAGTCAAACCTTTTCTTTTATAGTGTTAATAGTGCATGTTTATTATTTGAAGAACAACTACCTCAGTACTAATCTTGAACAATTATTTGATAAAAGCACATATGTTGGTGTATCTGTTTATAACTGACACTCTGCTTGCCACTAAATCTGTTGTGTCCCAATCAGGGTGTGGCATGGGGAGACTGCCATTTGAAACTGACCCCCTATGACACCCCCCAGAGTCTCCTAGATCTCCCCCATGCATTGAACAAGTACATCAGATAGTACTACTGTAATCATATTTCAAATATAATAAGTTTTAGCACATGCAGTTATCGACGTAAGCAAATATGAGTCGATTACATGTAAAGTCTCCAAGAAAAACGTATTACGACTTCTAAAATCTCTCTCATGAAATTACACTAAATACATAAACTACAGTAAGCACATGTCATTTTATATAAGACTATGTTTGGGTATACATTAACCATAACATCTATGTTACGTTAAAACTGATCTGTTGGACCAGCGAATGCTGTCTTTATTTCCTCTCTGTTGAATGGAAATCAAAGGTGAAAACCATATCTCTACAAGTATTTTAAGTTCTATTCAATGATGGAAATATGACAATCACAATAACATCAGTTAATAGTAAATATCAGAACTGAATTGACCGTCTTTTATGCCATCCCAATTTAAGTATTTCAAAATACTTTTTTCAAATGGTATACTTATGAAACTGTCTTATGTACATATAAAAGTTTATCATAACATATAATAATTTTCTACAAGACTTACACTTGAACTTACAATACAATAACTTAATATTTAAAATAAGTTATATTATATAATCAGTACAGAGTATTACTAACAGCGTCCCGAGTGTGTCTATAATAATTAATTATTTTAATCTACCTAACACACAGGTACGTTATAAATTACCTCCAGTATCACTGCTTGGGTCACATTTCTCCTGGCAAGGTAGGGAGCTGCTAGTACTTGGCTTTTCTTGAGTCAACTGTTCAAGCTTAGCTTTTAGTGTCATGTTTTCTTGACGCAAGTCCTCAACTCTTGTTTGGATGGCTAGGTCTAAAGGATTGTTCTTGAAATGAACAATTCTCATTTGGGAATGATCCTAAAATAAGTAACAAACACATGTTCATCTATATATTCCAACAGAACAATGACAGAAATTACTTGGATTTAAAAAAATAAAAACAAATATATATACACACACAAACACAAAATCGTTTACCACCTCAATTAATTAGATCTTATCATAATGTGAATTACTAATATCAAAAGACCATTTAAAAAAAACATCTTAGATTTGGAAATGCTACATTTTTACTCACTTAGATTATTTGTGAAGTTCTAAGATTGGGTATGAAACATTATTTATTAACATAGTTTAGACTGAATGAGATCATCCAGGACCTATAATGTTAAATTTTTAACTCAGTTACCTATGATTTTAGTGGAAAATCCAGTTACTGTTAGCTGTGGTTGTATGGGATGGAAAGATCCTAGAATTGGGAATATTCAATTATTGTGATATTGGGGGAAAATCCTGCACTTATGAAAGTTCCATTTGTTACTTGAAGTTGTGTTGGAATGTCCCATTACTGTGTTACCTGTTGTGTTGGAAGAACTACAGCATCAGTTTGGGTACTGCCTTCAGATTTCTTGACCGGCTGAAAGTTCCCTAGTAGTTGCTCCCTCGCCTGGTTTAATTCTGATTCTGTCTAAAATTTTTAAGAAATGAAAAAAGAATGCCATTTAAAAATATTGATTTGCACACAAAACACTTATGCTTATTATAACTCATTTATCATTTAAATGTTTCAAACCTTCTGTATAAAACTGAAACCTAAAACTCATAGTTTTCAAAGAGGTTACAACTACATAAATTTGTACAGTATAAAGATTGTTGCTTTTAATTTATCAGTTTCATCAAACCACTAATCCAAAATTTAAGCTGATTAACAGAAATTGGTATTTTTATCTTTGTAATAAGTAAGATTAATAAACTAAAAGACAACAAACCTGGTCTAATTTGACTCTATATTCTGCAAGAATTGATTCTAACCACTGAATTCTTTCCATTTGTGGTCCTACTGCAAGAGTTACTTCACTTTCATATGAATCAATAACTCTTTTATAACTGTCTCTTTCCTACACATATAAAAATACAAGATCATCAGTTACGAATTAAAATTCAACAAATAGTAACAATGCTAGTTATAAAACATAATTTTTAGTGGGATAAAAACTTTCACATATATACAAATTCAGAATCAACATGAAGAGTTTTAATTACAAAAATGTTTTTTGAAAACATCTTAAGTCATGAATTTCACTGATGAAATTTTTGTTAGAATTTTGTTTAATTTTTTGATGATAGTTATATGACTCACCATTGATTTTCAAACTAATAAGTTTTAATACTATGCTAGGCTAAAGTATAATAAATTTTCATTCAAAAATTTCAAAATGAAACATTTTTAGTGACACAGAAACCCCAATACCCTTACAAATGAAGCTTGGATTAATAGTTAAATGACAATACCTTTGATACAAGTAACAGTTTTTTCTGCAACCTCTTGATCAGATGATCTTGAAGCTGTAATTTTGTGTTTGTATTTTCAAGATCATTTTTAAATTTGCCAATCTTGTCATTCAACTGTAGCTTATTGTTCTCAAGCTCCTGTTTCCTGTTCAAAAATACATGTGGTATAAACACTACATTAAAACACTATACTTTTCTAATAGCAACACGTAACCAATTATAATTACATCCCTGTAATACAGTATTGATAAATACCGTGTTAAAGAGAAAAATAATAATAATAAAATTATACTATATTTTTCTTGTTTGTTTTTTGTTTTTGAATTTCGTGCAAAGCTACACGCTAGCCATCCCTAATTTAGCAGTGTAAGGCTAGAGGGAAGGCAGCTAGTCATCATCACCACCCAACTCTTGGGCTACTATTTTACCAACGAATAGTGGGATTGACCGTCACATTATAATGCCCCCACGGCTGAAAGGGCGAGCATGTTTGGTGTGACGGCAATTCGAACCCGCGACCCTCAGATGGCTATATTTTTATTATAATTATGTTTCATTAGAAATTAATGTTATTTGTTTCATGTTTTATATCAACATGAAGTATTATGGTAACACATGTATTAAACATCATGAGAAATTAAAATTTCATACATAGAATTCCTGTGTGGCAGCCAATGAAATGGTTACTTTGATCAGTGCAGGAGAAAAATTCATAAACCACACGTTAATTACAGCCATTTACCAATAAGAACAAAATCTTTTCACTGATTTTGTTCTTCATTTTACAAACTGCTTGAACAACGTAGAAAAGGAATTGCAGTATAACTTCAAATATATAAAGAAAACAAAATAATGAAATATTCATTTCCTTTCTACATTCCTGGTGTATATCATTACCTGTGTCATATTATACAGGGTTAACTTGTGGCACCATGACCACCAAGGAAGAGATGGGTAAAAAGTTATACCACATCCGTGGTAAGAAAAGTGCAGCATCTTGTAAGAGGAGACAATTCAGGAACACAAACATTGGTGCCAAAAGCTGTCCACGTGTCCCAAGCAACAGTATGCAACACAATCAAGACAGGACTCTTACTGGAAATAAGTCCATCAAAATATGGATTCACTACGATAAGTCTTACAGTCATACCTCCCAATCATCCATTGCATACCTCAAGCAGCTGAAGAACGAATATGCTTTTACATACAAAGAAATGCTGGTCAAGTTGCTGTGATCCAACTATCTAAACAAGCACTGGGATACTGCTATCCTCATATACTGGGTGGATTATGGAAAGCAACCATGGAGAAATAGTTTGCTTTAGACATGAGTGCTTTACAATAAAGCCTTTTGTAATTAAAACTATGTTGTAGGGCTATTGTCAAGATGATCTGTTGTCAGATAAAGCATGACTAGACATATTTACATGGACTGTAATAGTGTGGTGAGGCTCCAAAACTGTTTCAACCCTATATGCAGGGCAGTGGTGCCTTGCACCAATCCAGTTTCCATGAAGCTATATACAGCAGCGTTTATTATAATCCCAAATTTACTAAAGGCATTTTCATAAAATTTGGAAACTTTTTAGTAAAAATTACAAATATGTTGTACCAAAAATCAGAATTTTCAATAAAATATTTTTGCTAAAGATTTGTCTGTGAATTCACTGAGTCAGGCTCTGATGAGTTAGGATGCAAGGTGATTATCATGTTAAGAATAAAACAAATACTTTTTTCTATGTTACAGCTTTCACATTTCATTTGCATACTCCTAAATGAATATCAAGCCTTTCTTTTCGGTTTCATATTTTATCTGTTGTTTTCTCTACTCTAGCATTTAACTGTAGTGAAAACAGCAATGTAAAGTAAAATAAGAAATAAATTTATCCATTTTCTTTCTTTCTAGAATGAATACACATCGTAACAGAAAATCACATACTATTCATTCTTATTGTCAAAGCTAATAGTCTTTTCAAATCTTGGGTTTATATAATTTTATTGCATTCCACCTGCACTCGGACCCTCTCAGAGTATGACAAAAGTTACTTATCACAGTCAGACAGCTGTGCACAAACAAATGATTGAGTTATAAGCATACCAATCTGAATTACAAACACATCTCAAAACATAAAATGTGCTACAATACTGACTACCACAAGAAATGTTTTTATTTAGTATTTGTTTCATCTATGTTTTCTTACCTACCCTAAAAAGTTTTTAATTTTTACAGTAACTTTTATAAATAAAAAAATATGTGTACGAAACAAAAAATTTAGTACTTACCCATCTAAACTTCCGCTTTTTTGCTGTCAACAGCTCTGTGGGCCTCCTATTTTAGTTTTGTGTAACGATGTTGGTGGTCCAAAAGTTTTATTATATGTTTATCTCACATATAAAATTTAGAATGCAAAAAATTATCATTCATAAAGTATAGAATGTCCTAAAGTTACTGTAATTTAACCCACTGATTGCTGATAGGGTATGGTCCACCTCCAGCAATTGAATGCGAGCGTGCTGTATATGGTGTGCGACTCACAAAAATCCGCTCACGTTTAATGCAGCTACAGTTAAAGAGTTAACTGGTTTTATAACTAAGGTTCAAATAGGTTAAAAAAAATTCCATTAGTCATTCAAAGCTCAACAATCACATATAATCTAAGGTGAACTGTATAGAAAGGAGCATCATAAAGAAATAGCCTTCAGCAGATTCTCAAAGGGGACAAAACTCTTCTATCAAAGAAGAACACATGGTATGGACAAATTCATTCAAAGCTATGACAAGATGGGAGGAGCCTCAATGATGCCTGTCACACTTTCATTTACGTCTCACTACTACGAGAAGTTGAAAGGTTTATACAGGCCTCCATAATGGGACAATCTTCAATGATGGCTGTCACACTTTCATTTACGTCTCACAACTACGAGAAGTTGAAAGGTTTATATAGGCCTCCATAATGGGAGGAGCTTCAATGATGGCTGTCACACTTTCATTTATGTCTCACTACTACGAGAAGTTGAAAGGTTTATATAGGCCTCCATAATGGGAGGAGCTTCAATGATGGCTGTCACACTTTCATTTATGTCTCACAACTACGAGAAGTTGAAAGGTTTATATAGGCCTCCATAATGGGAGGAGCTTCAATGATGGCTGTCACACTTTCATTTATGTCTCACAACTACGAGAAGTTGAAAGGTTTATATAGGCCTCCATAATGGGAGGAGCTTCAATGATGGCTGTCACACTTTCATTTACGTCTCACTACTACGAGAAGTTGAAAGGTTTATATTGGTCTCTATATAGTTGTAGAATGAATACATTTTGTAGGATTTGATGTAAAGGACTAAACATTAACTTCTATAAGTTGATTTTTAATTCAACAATCAGTCTATGTTGAGAACGATCTCCTATGTTTTACGTTTGTTTTATTACTAATACAGGTTTTTATTTCTTTCAAAATGAAGAATATGTACATATACAAGAATGATATATATACGTACTGCCAACAGGCAACATTTTATTTATATTTATAACACATTTTTTATGTAAGATATGCTATTAGTTGTGTACTCATCCATATTCATTGAGAAGAGTTTATTTTTTAAATCTCTATCAAACCTCATAGGAATAACTCCACTCAACCAATCTTTCAGTTTGATTTGTCATGTAAAAGGGGTTAAGTACCTTGGAATCCTTTACCAGTGTCTAGACAAACTCAATTAAATGAGGTGACATTGTGAGTGAAGGTGAATGTTCTGCTGGGCATTATACAATTGAGGTCTCTATTTACTGGCATTTCTACCTAGATAACTAACACGTGGTCAAGGGAGGATCAACTCTGCTGATATTACATGAGTCACTGCAATGTACATTTTCAGCAATACCAAAAGGGATACATACATTCACTTTAGAAGTTTCTATATCCAGAAAAAAAAAATTGATATAAACTTTGTAAAAATTTGGATTTTTATTATTTGGAAGTTGAAAAGCTTACTCCCTGAAAACAGAAAATAATCTTTCAAACTATTAATTTCAATTTTGGGCACCACTTGTGGCCAAGGCTTTTTTATCCATCAGTCTTTCTTCTTTTTTTTTTTTAAAAAAAAAGGAAAATAGAAAAGGACAAAAAAGGAAGATCTGTATATATACTGATCTCTAGAATTTGCAAATTCACACTGAAATCACAAAAATAACCGTGTGAATTTCTATTTACTTTGGAGTGAACAAATTCTGTGTCATTCCTCCCAGACATCATTCATTACCTGTTGGTGAGTGTTAAGCAGATATAAAAAATTAACAGTTCTACCATGTTTTTTTTTGTCAATGTACTTACTTTCCATTCAACATGAATACTTCATTTTTCAACAAAGTCACATTCTTCTGCAGTTGTGAAATGTGTCTTGAAACTTGAGATGGAGATCTATATTAAAAAAAAAATATTTTATACCTTACATTTTTCAATTTCTGTCAGCATTTGAAGTTAAAGTATTTAATCACTGGTACACCAAAACAGATATAACTATGATCTTACTAAATATTGTACCAAGGCTCACTGAACAGACTGATTTAATATAGCACTGCTAAGTCTAATCATCACCAAATATTAGACAAAGTACAAGGGATAAAACCCAATAACCAAAGCATTTTAGAAAGTACATCTTCCTTCTTATAATACGAGTGTAATTATGATTTGTAAATGACTTAAATCAAATTGATAATAATTAAATTTTACTCACTTAATCTATTTCACACCATTACTGTTGGTGTGCATGTAACTGATGATATAAACAGCACCTAAACCTCTACTATGTCCGCCATATTTCAGCTGGCCTGATGAGCACTGATATTAAGTAAAAGGCCATGTTGGCACTGGATATGGCAGACATAGTGTGTTTAACATATTATTCTTTGTTCTCACTCATAAGTTCTTAGAATTCCAATTTACTCATGAAGAAGAAAAGTTTTAATGTCTGAAAATGTTCAGGCTATTTGGTTTTATTCAAAATGTGATCTAACGTGTTTATCAAGTACTACAAGTAAACATAAGTAATAAACTTTAATTAGATATACAGACAGAAGCTTAAAATACGTTTGTATGTTTACATTATTCACAAGTTTTCTTGGTTATAAAACTATTTCTCTGATAAATAGCATAACTATTACTTTCACATCAATTCTAATGTATAGAAAGTACTTCAACAGCTTATTCATTCTTGAAACTAACTGCTAGAGAAAACAGCATGACTACCTACTTATCAAGATCATGTAGTTGATGATGAAGGGTATAAGCAAAAGACTAGATGACATCAAAATGATTAAAAAACTAGATGTTATTTTCAACTTTCCTCAAGTTCTTTAGCAGTTAACTTCTGATTTGAACAATCTATGTACTTAGAGCAAGGTTAAAAATCAACCTGGCAATCACCATAGCTAATTAAATATTTATGTTTCTACTCTATAAATTATAATTCATTTTTTCATCAGTTGGTTACCCTTGTTGCTAACAGTATTTTTGCCCATAATCTCAATAACATCTCAGGAGGTTCGGCTAGATTAGGAGATTTAAGTTAGTTCTGAACACACATATTAACTACCTCAATATGGGCTCGGTCAATTTGACCGACAACGTGACCTTTTTATACTCGTCTTTATAGATTTAATACTTATAACTCTCAATATAGTGTGTATATCTTCACAAAATTTGGCAGTCTTTCAGTAACATTACAAGACTTTCACATACAAAAAATAATATTTTTAGTGAAGTATTTTTAATAAAATAAAAATTGGTCCATGAATATATTGAGTATTTGTTTTGAATAATCCGTGTGCAAAGTACTTTTCATGTTAAAATTAAAAATACTTTTCCTCATTCAAAAATCTCAAATTTCCTTTGTCTAATCCCTAAAACCTCGTAAATGCATTTCAAATGCTTTTTTCAGTAAACCTTAATTGTTTATCTGTTATTTTATCTACCCTATCTCAAAACAGGATCGGTCAATTCGACCGACATTGTAACCACCAAAAAAAAATAAACCTAAATTACCCTTCTTTCTTTCTAGTATGACTTAAAATTGTAACATAGAACTACATTCATTTATCCTAAGTAGCTATAAGTTCATAACATTATACATCTATTTATAATTACATTTTATTGCTTTATTGCCCTTCGAACCGTATGTAACTGCTATCCATGCCATTATAAGTTGTAAATCACTCAGAGAATATGCAGGTAATGTCATGCTATTGAATTATATTACCCACGAGCTGCTGGCATGCATGCCTTGTGAACCATTTTAATTGTATTATTATTATTATTACTTATCTTACCTATTCTAGTCTTAAGTAACTTATAAAGAATCGTATTTTTAGATTTTAGTTTCTTTTATAATAATAAAGAAAGAATACATATGAAAAACAAGAAATAAAGGACTTACCCAATCTTCCTTTCAATTGTGGAGGACAGTTAAGCCTAACTTTATATAGTAATGCACTTAATAATTTATATTTAATTAAATAATGCACCAAAAAATATAGACTAATAACATGCAAAAAGTCAACAACTTCCCTTACCCCTCAAAATATTTCTGGCTTTCTAACTATGAGATAAGAGCTGTTACCAATTCATCCAAGCTAGTCGTTAACTTTCCCACGGGAACGAATATTCTACTGTGAGTGACATTGACGATATTCTGTTCAGAACACAATACGTCATTTGATAGATGAAAACCTTGACTTTCTATTGGTTATAGGTAATGCATAATGAAATGTACGAGAGAACTATCAGTGAATTGTGAAAGAGAGAATGTGACAAGTGGGTGTGGCAGGAGGGGGCCAATTTTCTATTCAATAGCTCTGTAACCAAACAAAATTGAAAACTAAAAAAATTTGGGTTTGTGTCAGAATTCAAAATAAAAATATATACATAACTTTCCATTTTGCCAATTGTCAAATAGAAATGGTTTTAGTTATATTTCTTAATAGTGAAAATATATACTTTATTCTCCTTTGCTATTATCTGTCTGATTCTGTCTGTCTGCTGCTTCCCACTCGCCTCACGCTACTTATATCTTTATTACCTAGTCGTCTGTCGACCTTCTATATACTCGAAGTCAATATATTGCATGTGATGTTCGATATTTTCAACATCAATGAATTATAAACAAAACTTCCTACAATCATCTGCTTTTAACTCTTATTATAACAGAAACTAAACAATAATAAAACATTCACTCACAAAACTAAATTAATCAATACTATCTGTACGAAACAGTCTTTTATATAATGACAGTTTGTCTGAGCAATAATGATTTCATAGAGAGTAATTTATGTTTAATTTCTTACTTTTTCAAGGAGTGGTGGATAAAATAGGGATGATGACATGCTAAGAGAAAATGAGTGAAGTGGGTTACACTAATGAAAATTCAGGATATATTTAATTATTTCTTTGTAAAATTAAGAATTTAAAACTTGTAAACTATTAACATATGGATTAATAACTAAGATTTTATGCTATTCTAATCAGTATAACATAAACAAAAAGTAGTTAAATAAAGTTTTGAATGCAAGACACTAAAACCTTGTGTCATGCAGTCATACCGTTGTGCCACTAAGGGGCTGTAAACACATATACAGATAAAGGTTCAATTCCTTATACTGGAAAAGTAAGACAATACTTTTAGATAAATATTTTCTCTAAAAACATAGTTTGTAATAATAATAATATAGTGCATAAATTATTTCAACACTTAATGAAATACTTAATAGTTAACATAAACATTCAAAACCTGAATGATACACAAGAACAAGAATTAAAAACTTATTCAAGTAACCATACCTAATTTGTGAAAAACAAAAGAGTAAATTAGATTTAAGTTATTGTTTACCTTTGAAAACAAGGAGAAGAAAAAAGGAAAAAAATTTGGACTAAATATCTTGCAATGTAACTTCTTGCAAATGAGGAATAATATTTATTGTGAATTCGATGACGAGGAACCCACTTTGAGACTAATAATGGCTGGAGACGGCTTAAATGGGTAATGACCTGATGATGACAAAACCTTGTCGAAAAGTTGTACATTTGCTGTCATTGTTAACTT